CAAAATAAATATATAAAATATATTTTCCTTTTTCATATAAAAATGGCCTGTTGAGCGAGTATTGTGCAGTCGTTGCTGTCCTGCTTCAAAGTTCTTATTTGATTTTTTTTCAATATTTGACAAATATTCAATGTTGCAAGCTGCTGGGAGACAAAGCTGGCTGTGTGTGTGTGTGTGTGTGCGTGTGTGTCTGGGCTTGTGTGTTATCTGCGTCATGTCGTGAGCATATCGGGCGCGTCAAAAAATCGCTAATGAACAGTAGCTGCGCTGGGTGTATGTGTAAAAATTAGCACTTGGCTGGCAACGCTTTAAAAGCGACTAAACAACAACAGCAACAACTGACAGCAACAACTGACAGCAACAACAACAGCGACAGCTATAGCCAGTCAAGCTGACTTCGGGCGATGTCGCTGCTTTAGTCTAAGTCTATCAAAGAGCAACAACAAACCAACAACAACAACAAAAACTTTCCCGCTTCTTATGCCCTGTAGTCAGCCTCCATAGGGTATGCTGCACTCTGTGCTAAAGGGTTTATAGAGCACAAGCTCAGATCAGTTTATCAAGTGAAACATTGAGCTATGTGTCTCTGTCTACAAAGTGGAATCTTCCATGAAGTGCCATAGCGAGTCCAGCAGTGGCCAAAATCTCTAGCATAACAAAGCAGCAAAGCAGCAAAGCAGCCTCAATTCTCAGTTTGATTTTGAATATTTTGTGAAAGGTTGAGCTTAGCTTTCGCTCTGCAAGCCAAGCCAACTTCTTGTCTATATAAAAGGTAGAGCTGGCAACTCGATAAGCCATTCATATACAGACTCTAGCTGCATCTGAGCAACAGCTCAATAACTCTCTGTCTACAGCTAACTTTCTTTGAGCACTCAAGCATCAATAACTACTCAACATAACTACTCAACGCATGAGCAGATTCAGGTACTCCAAGCCTATTCTATTCAATAGAAAACAAGTACAAAATGTGTGAAAAAAATACAAATTTAGAATCAGCTCAAATTAGACGCGCCACAGCCTTGGCTTGGCCGAGAAATCAAAGCCTCACGAATGCCACTTGCTGCTGTTTGGGCTCACTCTAAAGACAGCCTCTATACACCTTTCAGCAGGGTATCTGCTAGTCTGCCACTTTATACTACTCTCCTTTCGTATCTAGCTTCCAGCTAGCAGCTAGCAGCTAGTTAGTCAACAGCTTCCAGCTTGCAGCTTCCAGTTTTCCCTTGGCCACTGGCCAATGGCATTTCCAGTTTGTGAGGCACCGCCTAGTCACCTGTTGCTGCCGCTGCTGCTGCAGCGGCTACTCGAATCGAACCTTGTGAAGTTGCCGAAATTTTAACAAGTTCATTTCGAAAACAATAAAAATCATTCAGATGCTGCGCGCGAACCGAGCAAAGATCAAAGTCGGCGCACGGCAGAAGCGACCAGAAAGGGTATCGAGTAGAGGCTCAGAAGTGTCGACTAGATCTGGCTAGAGTTGAGCAATGGCTTGGCAGCAGTTAGACCTCTGAATGCCCTACCCATGCACAAGTCTCTGAATGCCCTTCCCATGCACAAGTCTCTGATATGCATTAGTCTCTAAATACTCTTCCTATGCAAAGGCATATGAAAAATGAGAGCAACTCTTGCTGCTTAGGGTATATGCTATACAGTATCTTGTGTGCAGATATACCCTATCTATCTATCTATTATCTATCTATCTATCTATCTATCTATCTATCTATCTATCTATCTATCTATCTATCTATCTATCTATCTATCTATCTATCTATGTATCTATCTATCTATCTATCTATTTATCTATCTATGTATCTATCTATCTATCTATCTACCTATCTATCTATCTATAGAGCACACATGAAACCAGCTGCTAGGTAGGGCATACAGCATATAGTATATACTGATATATCCTGAATTTACATTGGATCTCACTTTGAATGAACCTGACCTACCTAAGCAATCTATAGACTCTATATAGCTTTATACTCTACACTTGAAACCACTGTGAGTGCTATGAGATTGCTATTAGCTGCTACTAGGCTTATTAAATACCCTATAATATGTGATACTTGGCATGTAGACATGCCTGTACTCCGCTCTCATTGGCAATTGCTCACACCAATCCGATTTCTATTGTACTCTTTTATACTCGCCTTTTAGTCTTATGCATTTGAAGCACTGCTCACAGTTCCCACTCGATTCTACAGCTTATAGTAGAGAGTATAAGTATATCAAGAGACAAGTGAGTCAAACAGATCGCTGTAAATACTATTCCACAAGCAACTGAGAGTATATAGCATATAGAGTATTTAACCTTGCTCAACAGATTCCATAATATTTCACTTACAACACAAATTGCACTTGCCCAAACAGAACTCTAGATACTCTGCGATATAGATATAGATATAGATATAGATATAGATATAGATATAGATATAGATATAGATATAGATATAGATATAGATATAGATATAGATATAGATATAGATATAGATATAGATATAGATATAGATATAGATATAGATATAGATATAGATATAGATATAGATATAGATATAGATATAGATATAGATATAGCTATAGATATAGATATAGATATAGATATAGATATAGATATAGATATAGATATAGATATAGATACATTTATGGATATATATATATATATATAGATATAAACATAACTCTCTATACTATATACTATATACTATATACTATATACTATATCAAGGGCAAGCCTACATGCCCGATCTATACTCTAGCTTGTGGAAAATTGCAATGAGCTGCTAGAAAGAGTATTTAGTTTATGGATGTATTCAGCCAAGTGCGAGTCGATTTCGAATACTTTTCGCTTTCAGCAGAACTTGCACAAGCACCCACACAGCTCCCTTCACACACACACACACACACACACACACACTCTACACACTCTATCCCTGTGCATAATGATTATGAACGAAATATCCATGACAGCATCTCTGGTCAAAGAGTCGTGCCCAAAAAGGCAAAAGCCATAGACGAGAGTTCGCATCAACTGGCGATGAGTAAATGTTTGACTTGTAGCAGCAGCAGCAAGAGCTGAATACACACACACGCACACACACATACACACAGCACTCTCTCACAGGCAGCGCCTCGCACATACATGTTAAAAAATTCCAGACGCTGAACTCGCTGTGGCAGCTTCAGCTTCAGCTTCAGCTTCAGTTACAGATTTATACAAGCATCGCTTGTATTTGTATTTGCCTATGATTTCGTGTTTCTTTTATATATATATATATTTTGTGATATTTCCCAAAAAAAAGAAGAAGCAGAGGAAGAGGAAGGCGACGCATTACGTAGCCAAAAAGGTAAAAAATTTTGTTCAAAGGGGTTAAGCGCGCAGCCTCTGCTGGCAGAGCTAGCCAATGGCTGTGTGTGTGTGTGTTTCTGTGTGTGTGTGTGTCTCGCACCTCTCTGAACTGCCGCTGCCGCTGCCGCCGCTGCTGCTGCTGTTTTTGGCATCGTTTTGAATGACAGGTTGTTGAAAAATTGAATTCGATTCGAACGGGCCAAAACAGTTCGCGCTCAGCTCTAAAACAAGTCGGAATCGAGCTCGACTCGCGTTCCGCGACGGCACAAATCGCACCGAAAAACGCAACGAAACGCGTAAAGAATAAATCAAATTTATAATAAATAATAAAGCATAGAAAACTTATAAAACAATTTCGCATTCGCGTCGGCTTTTTGGCTCTTTAAGTGAGCGCCAATTGTGAGTGTCCCTTCACCGCCCCCACACCCCGCCCCGCCCACCGTTTGCATTTATAATTCGTGTAAATGCTTCAACTGTATTTTAATTAAATCTAATTCAATTTGTAATCGAAAGCTCAGAAATTAATAAACAAAGCCAGCTCTTCCTAAGGCAATTTCCAGCTAAATCTCTTTGTGAAATTATTGAAATAGTTCTAAAAGTTACAACAGTAAATTCTGCTGATTAATCGAAAATTAATCGAATGTTGACCTGAGGAGATTCAGTTGTAGAAAAGGCAATAAAAAACCTATAGTTGTGTTTGCTAATGTTATCGATTATGCTTAAGATGTGCTAATGTGTGTGAACTCTGAACCTATCGATCTCTAAACCAGTGTTATCGATTGTATACAAAATATGCAAATGTGTGTGAACTAAGAAGCTCTTAGAATCTCATTGATTGGTATCGATTGTTATCGATTGGCAACAGTTATCGTTTCTGTGATACAAACTGAATCTGAAATCTGAATGTGATCTAGATATATCTAACGATCTATCTATAAATTATCTTTGATCGATTTGTAGTTATCGATTTTGTGTTAGAATCTCAAGTCAGTGCGTGCTTCAAATGAATCTACCTCGCTAGTGTTTGCTGAGCGATATTCCCACTTTTGACACTCAACTGACTAAATATGCATAAACAAATAAATAAATGAATAAATAAATATAATTTTGTATATTTTAACTAATCTCTCTTGGTGCTCTCTCTTTTGTCTCCGTTTCTCTTTTTTTATCACTACCTCTCTCATTGTCTCCTCTCTCTCACTCTCTTCTATTTTCTTTCTGTCTCTTATTTCTCTAACCTTTCGTGCCCGCTTCACATCTTCTCTATTTCTCTTCTTCATATTCTTTCTTCACTCTCTGCGTTTTATATTTTTCCTTCTTCGTCTTTGTCTCTTCATTTCTTTTGCTCAATCTCTCTTTTCTTTACTTTATCTCTCTTACCTTCTTCCTTTTCTTTCTCACTCCTTCTGCCACTTCCTGACTTGACTCTTTTTCGCTCTCTTTATCTACCTTTACCTCTCTCTTTCGCTCTTTCTATACTACTCTCACTATCTGATCTAACGGTGTCTCTCTCGCCACTCTGTTTCTTTCTCTCTCTCCCTTTCCTCTCCCTATATTACGCTTATATAACATTCTTCAACTTTATACTAATCTCTTTTTGCCTCTTTCCTCCCATCTGCCTCTCTCGCTCTCTCCTTTACGACTCACTCGACAGGCCCCAAGGATTGTGATCTACCCAAGGCAGCCATCACAGCTCTGCACGCGGGCGTCAACAGCTTCGGCCAATTGCCCGTGCCACCGAATATCGCTGATTTAGGCGGCGGTGGGGCTGGACCTGGCGGTGGCGGCGGACCAGGCGGAGGTGGAGCAGCTAGTTTGGGCGGCGTTGCGCGGCTGCATGTGACAGGCGGACTGTGCGATAACAGCAATGCTCTAAATGGTGCCAGCAATCACAACAACAACAACAACAACAACAACAACAACAATAGCAACAACAACAATAACAACAACAACATGCAGCAACAGGATCAGGTGAGCAAGCGCTGAGCGAGAGTGAGAGAGAGCGCGCGCGAGAGGGGGAGCGAGTGTTGTTCTCTCGCTCTCTCTCTCTGTCTGTGTGTGTTGACAGCCATCTTCCCCTGTTGCCCTCTCTCTCACTCTCACTAAAAGCTAAAGAATTTCTTAATAATCCATGTTCTTTTCGATGTTTTTTTCCTCAAAAACAAAAAAAAAAAAACTGCAAAAAAAACCAATTCGAAAACCAATCAAAAAATCGTTAAAAAAACAATGCGAATGTGTAAATTCTGTGTGTGTAAAAAATAAAATAAATATAAAATATATATCTTATGTGCAATGATAAATAATAATAAAAAAAGTAAGTGTGATTTTATTTCTCTATTTAAAAAAAAAAACAAAACAAAACAAAACAAAAAAAAATAATTTTTTAGTTTATTTTTTATTATTTAACTTGTAGTTGAAATAATTTAGTGCTTGTTCTTCTTCAATTAAACTTAACTCTAGTTGTTGTAAATTTTGTTGTTCTTTTGCTTTTCGCAATACTAAAGCCACGCCCCTTGCGCCGCCCGTCGCTCGTCTGCTTGTCTCTTTGCAGCACTTGGACAAAAACAAACAGAAGCGACATCGCACACGTTTCACACCTGCTCAATTAAATGAGCTGGAGCGCTGCTTCTCCAAGACCCACTATCCGGACATCTTTATGCGCGAGGAGATTGCCATGCGGATTGGCCTAACCGAGTCGCGTGTCCAGGTGAGTTACCTCCACTTACCTGCCACTCAGCCACTCCAGCTGCTGGCAAAGTTTCTGCGGCTTTGTTGCGGCATTTGCCTGTCACATTTGACTCGCAGTTAGCCCCATTGACAGCCAGCCACCTGGCCACCTGTTCCTTTGACACCTGAACGTTTAGCGCGACAGGACAGCCAACCGCAGACAAAAACCAAATCAAAACGCGGTTTCAACTCAAACTTCTTCAACATTTTTAGTGGAGTTTTTGCAGCGGAACAATTCAATTCTAACTAACAGTTAAAGGACTTTAAAGAGCACTCAGGTTTCAGTTAAGGCCAGGCCAAAGACAGTTGTAATTTGATTGGAAATTTCTTGAAATTTATAACTACAAAGTCTATAAAGTTGAAAGTCTTTCAGTTATATACAGAGTAGTAAAGAATTAATCTTTTAATTCAAGTCAGTTTTCTAAATATTTATAAGTAATTCGCCTTCACATTCGCTCTTCATAACTGTATCGTAAATTTCTAAAATATTTGCACACAGTTTTCGCTTATATAGTATTACTAATTAGTTTATAAACATTTTGTTTATTTAACAAACAATTAGCAGGCAAATATATATGCAACGCATTTCAAAATTCTATAGTCGATATAAATTTGAACTGGCATCGAAATGTGGCACAGATTGAAGTAATAAAAAAATAAATTAATAAATAAATAAATAGAGCAAAAGTTTACAAATGAGAAGAGAGAAGGCTCAATAATTCATAAGAGAAACATTGGAAAGCTTCTTACTTCCAATCAGAATTTTCCTAAAAGTTCTCTTATTAAATTCGTTTTTTGGGCTTTTCAGTATTCTCTTAAATTTTGTCAGCTTATCTGATATTCCCTATTCCCTTTTGTTTATATTTTCTCTTGTTTTTTTTTATATGGAGTACTTTTTTATTTTCTGCTGGCGCTTTAATTCACAATTTTCACTCATTTTTATGAGCATTTTGGCTGCACTCGGCGCCATTTAAGCGCACGAAAATTATATTTTATTAAAGCACATAAAGTCACATTTAGACGGCGCTGCGCTCCCATCTGCCCAGCTGTTCCTCTCCTCTCCCTCTCCCTCTCCTTCTCGCACCGCTGTCTTTGTGCGACTTATGACTGCCGCAGCACAAAAACTTTACCCACACACAGACAGGCTGCGTGAAAGAGAGAGCGAGAAAGAGGGAGAGAACGAGAGCATTATCCTTTTGCGGCTGGCAGCAGCTCCCTTCAGGCAGGCACTGCTGGCATTATCCTGGCTGGGCGTCATGTCCTTTGGCATTGCGGGCGGCGGGCTTTTGTTTGTTTATGCGACAATCGAATTTACTGCTTCATTAAATTTGTGTTTAAGCTTCCGCTTCCTGCAGAGAGACCACTGCGTCTCTCCCTCTCCTTCTCGCCCGCTCACTCTCACACTCACGCCGACTCGCTCTCTTGCTCTTTGTGTAAAACTATGCATGGAATTGTTTTGCGGTTTCAATGAATGCCAAAAAGTTTGCTCAGCCTTTGAATTCTAATGGATTCCTCCACCCACTCTCTTTTGCACACTCATTTTTGCGCTCTTAGCTAAACAATTAGCTGCTGGCCTAGTCTTCCTTCTTCACCTCACGGATGTTTTACTTTCTATGAATGCTTTGGCTTCGCCTCTAGTTTCGCCTCTAATTTCACCTCTAGTTTCGCCTCTAGTTTCGCTCTCTTCCATTTTTGCTGCTACCATGAAGCACTGAATCTATTTTTAGCTTACTTTTCCAGCGAATAACGGATGTTTTACTTTCAATGAATGCCAGCAGTTTGCTTTGACTCCAGTCTCTGTTGCTCTCTCCTGGCTTAGCAATTAACTGCCGACCAATCCTACTCATCTTCTGTTGCTTTCGTCTCTCTTACGAATGTGCTGCTCAATCAAAGAATGCCAAAAAGTTAGCTATGACTTCTTATGACTTCTCTCTCTCGCTCTTTTGCTCTCTTTGGCTTAACAATTAGCTACTGACCAAGCACGCACACCCTTATCTTTTTTTGCCTTTTTTCGCGCGCGCCTAACGGATGGTCTACTTTGATAAATTGTTTTTAATAATTGCGTATCAGTGTCTGGCTGTTAATGTATCCTGTCTGCTGCCGCAAAAGGGGGGTCGCAAGAATAATGCCGGGTTGTAGCTGTTGCTGCTGCTGTTGTTGTTGTTGTTGTTGTTGTTGCTATTAACACGCTATAATGTTTGATTTTTCGTTTGTCGTTTGGCTTTTGCGGCTTATGGGATGTCAGCCCTTTGGATTAGCAAGGACTTATTGTAGCTGCCTCACGACTCTGCCACTGCCTTTCCGTCCCTCTCTTTCTCTCTCTCTCGCTTGCCCTCTGTTAATAAAATTAGCATATAAATTAAGTTTGCATGCTGGTTTTTGTACCACTGTGCGAAACACACACACCCACATGTATTACATATTTTCTATATACATTTGAAAATCTTCAAAAAGGCGTGGCACGCCTTCCCTTTAAGCGCACACATTTGATATGCACACACACGTCTGGCCCTAAATCAATCTGCAAGGATTTGCAGCTAATGACGGCATAAAGACAGCCCCAACTGCCACTTGCTAAAAGGATGCCCCAAAAAATGGATGTGGGAGTCTTAACACGTAAAGCAAGTCAAGCTAAAACCGAGAGTGTATGTGTGAGTGTGAGCGTTGGCTGCATAAGTTATGAAGCTCACGTAGCTAGACGTGGCAACAGGATATACCATATAGTTGGCATATGAGCTGTTTAATTATGCAGCAAATATATATATATAAAATAAAATATATATTTAATATATATAAATATAAATATATATATAATTGAATAAGCTAAAAATAAGTGAGCTCTAATAGCAGAGCAATGCGATTACTAAATGTAAGTGAGTGGGAAAGAGATAAAGAGAGATCATTAACCCAAACATAGATTGTAAGAAGATAAAGAGTGAGAGAGAGACGACAATGAGAGATCATTAGCATGTGCAAGCAAAAGAAGAGTGAAAACAAATATGAGAGAAGTGCAGTTAGGTCAAATGTATTCTACTGTGAAACCTCCTATAGACTGACACGACTTCTGGACACTTTTGGCAGCTGCTATATATTATGTACTAAATGTACTCAACGAGACTTCACTGTACTTGTAAATATAATTGAATAAGTAACAAATAAGTGAGAGTAAAATAGTAAAGATGAGCAAACTATAGTCAAATGTGAGCTGCAGAAAAATTAAGAGAGTGAGGCAAATAAAGAGACAGAGAAGTGGCGTTGAGCAGTGGACGGGGCAGGACAGACAGCGACTGTTTGCTCAGCGTGTGGTACAATTGTTAATTTGTTTGTTTCACAGCTAGAAATGAACAATTTGTGTGGTGCATTAAGGCCTAAGCGTCTTAACACCACCCGTGGCCAGGCAATATGTCGCTGCATGTGGCACATACAAAGAGAGGGAAGAGATATGGGAGAGGGGGCGGGGGAGGATAGAGCGTGTCACACACAAAATTGACTTATCATGATTTTTACATTGTCAAAGCAATGTTTGGAATGCTTTTGCATTTATTGCTTTGTTTATTAAATTTGTTGCAACGGGCACAGAAACGGGGCACGTGCCACAATCTCCCCCTAACTCTCTGACGCTCTGTGAATCAAATGAATTTCTCACATGATTAATTTGCCTTGGCAACTAGCTAAAAGTGGGGCGTGGCACGTAGCTAAGCAAAAGCTAGTTGGCAACTGAGGCAGGCACTGGGGCAGTGGGAGTGGCAGTGGCAGTGGCATAGCCAAGTGGCACGCACACAGACATTCGGCATCAAGTAGCTTTGTCGAGTGCCTCGCTACCTGGGCAAAAGTTTTCCAGCTAATCAGGCACTAAAAATTGTTTAAATTCATAATTTTGTTGGCTTAGTTTGAAGGGTTTTTCTGCTGCCAGAGCTCAAATTGAATTCTCAAAACTTGAAAGGACATTCGTTTCAACTTTTGAAATAGGGATTCGCAGAATTAGTTGAAGAAGGGCGCAGATAAGAGAAAAAGAGTGAGAGAGCTACACTGTTAAAAATCAAGTTAAACGGAATGGAAAACTCAAGCTGAAAAATTATTTTCCTTCTTTTAGATCTTCCATAAGTTCTAATTAGGCTTCACATAGTGCTTTTATCCTACAGTTACTGCCTTATTATCTTTCATCTCTTATGTGTAAGATTATGAGCAGGAATTTCAAAATTCACGGTACTCTTTGAACGGACCTCGTACTGTAAAAATTTTGCATTGAAATTTGTTTTCTGCGAAATAGTCTAAAAGGACCTTTATTTTCTTCAAGTTGCCTGTTGATTGAGTTAAATTGCTTTCTAGATTATAATAGTACTTTAAAAAGTTCCTAGAATTATTTGCTGCATAGTGTAATATATATAGTGTAGCAATATATGTCTGTATATATTTTCTACAATCTACATTCTTCATAGAAGTATTCTTTAGGCCAAGTCCTCGCCGCTCTCATCAAACATTGTTTGAATTCAGCGTTGTTCACAAAAATAGTAGTGTGATTGAGCTGTTTTAGGACAGCAAAATTAAGTGATAAGCGATACATCAAATATATAATGAAATGAGTATTATGATTAACATATACTGCTGTTAAGTTGGGTGTTTATAAAGTTTCAAGTTTATGTTTTTATGCAGTGCCGCGCTACTATTATTTTGAGCACAACTGCTCGTAGTATATTTCTAATATATTTATACCTTTATATATATGAAGATATTCTCGAAGTCTTCGCCCTCCTTTATCGTCTCTTTCGAACAATTCTTTTACCTTTTCCTTTATATTTCACTCACTTTTCGTTAAGCTTTGTCAGTTTTTCTTACCCAAAGCCGAATCTGACTCACCGCAAAATTTAGCACTTGCAAAAGGATATGAGGCATTCGAAATACATTTCAAATCAATCATAAAAATATGTAATAAAACAAAAGCAAATTCCAATTACTCACCACAAATTTTATTAGCTGTTA